TAGCGTGAGGAACGGCCGGAGGGTTAGAGTGAGCAGAGGCGGCGGATTCAACGAAGTAGTGTCTGGCGGGCTTGCGGCAACCACATGTGACGACCCCGGGCAAGACTCCGCTTCGTCCACGGTGAAAGCCGATCTGGCGATCCACAGCGAAGTTGATGTATTTCTTCAGCGACCAGCACAGATCAGCTCTAGGCAGGACGAAGTGGATATCGTCCTCTTTTGGAAGACCAAACAAAGTAGTTTCGCTTTCACAACGAAGCACACAGAGCCTTCACGACATGGAGGAGGCGGCAACAATACTACAGCGAGAATAAAAGTTACACCTTCTTTCTTTGCGTGAACATTCGGGTGGCGTTATGCAAATCTTCCCACATAGTGATGTAGACATGTGGGGGCGTGTTAGAACGAGCCGTTTTAGGTAAGTATGGTTGACTCTTAACTTTTATAAAGAATATCTCTTTGGATTTGAGACTTTAGTCTTTGCAACTTTACAGATCTTCTTTATGCACTAAGAGCTTGTAACACTCCAAAGAGAAAGGAACAATTGAAATCGCATCATATGTCATACTTCAGATGTCAGCCACCTTAATAAGTGTGTTTTTCTGTCTATGTGCTGCAGGTGACATGCTCTGTCTCTCAGAGGTGAGGATTCTGTTAATGGCTCCTAGAAATAAAGGCAAGAGTTTTGCAGGAAACATCATCCTGGGCAGCGAGGAGTTTGACGTGAAGAGATGTGCTCAGTGTGTGAGGAGACACGGAGAAGTAGCAGACAGACACCTCACGGTCATTGAAGTTCCAGGATGGTGGAGGGATTACACAGTAGACACCAGTCCTGAGTTACTGAAACAGGAGATTGTGCTCAGTGTTTCTCTGTGTCCTCCAGGACCACACGCTGTACTACTGCTCATACGCGTGGACATGCGATTCACAGGCGCTCAGAGGAAAACAGTGCAGGGTCATCTGGAGCTTCTCGGTGAGGGAGTCTGGAGTCACACTATAGTGCTGTTCATTCATGGAGACTATCTGTTAGACACGTCTATAGAGCAGCACATTGAGAGCGAAGGACAGGATCTCCAGTGGCTGCTGGACAAATGTGGGAACAGGTATCATGTTCTCAACTTTAAGGACAGGAGTGACGACACTCAGGTCAAGGAGCTGCTGGAGAAGATTGAGGAGACAGTGGCACAAAACAGAGGCTCCCATTTTGAAATGGACGGAAAGATTTTACAGGAGATGAAAGAGAGAAGAAGAGCAGAGGAAAAGAGAGCAAATTAACGAATGGAGAGGATGAAAAAACAGAGAGATGACATCAGATCACAGATGAGTGAGTCCAGGTTCTGCACAGTGCAGATGAAGCAAATCGTGAATGATAAGCAATAACGAGAAACTTACCATCATAACCACTTGTTCCCATTAGTGTCACACTTTTATTTATGCACTTATGTGCTTTCAGTACATTAAATTTTTTTATTTAGTTATTTAGCAGATACTTTTATCTAAAGCGACTTACGAAGGTGGATGATAGAAGCAATCAAAATCAACAATAGAGCAATGATACACAAGTGCTATAACAAGTCTCGGTTAGCTTAACGCAGCACACGTAGTAGAAAACAAGCAGATAGAATAGAAAATGAACAGGGAATGCTAGCGTTAAGAGGGTCATTTTTTAAAATAAAAATAAAACAAGTGAAAAGAAGAAAAGAAGAAAAGAGAATGACAGTGTTAGAGGCTCTTTTTCCCATTTTTAAAGAAAACAAGAAGTTAGAATATAAATAGAATAGAGAGTGCAAGTGTTAGAGGGTCAAGTGTTTTTAAAAATAAAATAGAATTAGAATAGAGAGTCCAAATGAAGATGGAAGAGATGTGTTTTCAGCCGTTTCATGCACTTTTATTTACAATCTTGTTCTTCATGCAATTCTGAAAACCTAAGCCATAGAAAACACCACAATCATAAAAAAATATGAAAACATAATGCATGATATTTAAACATTGTGTTTAAGTCAAATTAACATCTGTGTTAAGTCTCGTCCCCTCTGGACTGATGATACCGAAATGCTGTGGTTTGTGATATTGTGTGTTAAGCATAACATTGATATGATGCACTGTTCTTATTCACTTTATTTTTCCAGTGAGAGGAGTCGAGAAGTCTGCCTCCAGTTCATTTGGGTCCCGATCAGATTCAGCTTTCAGCTTTGAGGACGACTCACATCTCGAGAACAGCTGTGAACACATGGGAGTACCGACACCATTACGTGAGTATCTTTGTTGTTGTTTTATCTGTGCAAGCATCAAAACGTTTTTAAATGAGTAATTATATGACTGAAACCTGCTTTTATACATATTGGAAATGTTTTGAGAAATTTTGCTCACCTGACTTTTTTGTGGCTGTAATGGCATGTTAATATAATTGACTATAAATGGTTAAATGCACAGATTGCCCCACTGTGTTGTTCTAAAACAAAAACTACTTTCTGCTATGTTTTGCAGTGAGTGGAGATGAGGTGTCTGTGAGAAGCTCTACTTGCAGTTCAGTCATGTCAGAAGCAGAGGACAGCAGTTAAAGCCCTCATGAAGTGATTTAACAAAAAACTATTTTCTGTCCTGTACTGACGCATTTCCCAGTGAAGCAGCTTTTTCCATTTCTCATATTACAGCTACAAAACATCCCCAAAAATTACAGTACAATGGCTTTTATTCTGCTCTTTTCCAATGTAGGGACATGAAGTTAAAACTGCTTTACTCTCTTTTATTTTCCATGTTTTTATTCTGCACTATACTGATGAAAACACAACAAACATCAATCAATTGCAGGTACAAGCTTAAAAAGTATTTGCCATTTTTATACAGTGAAAAACGACACTATAAACCTGGGCGGATTTCTGTTCATTTATATAAAAACACAACATTTTCATCCCAAATAAAACTTTTGAACATGGCTCAGGAAATAAGAATGTAAACATCTCTCTGAACACATATACAGCACATGTCTCATAGCAGCATGCTGTCACACTGAATGTGGTCAATATAAACTATTAAACAATTATAAAGCACAAAGCTAAGAAAAACTGTAAACAAACCAATGTTTTGACCAAAACGCTATAAATCGTATGCAATCACATATTCAGTAAAACATGATGACACAGTGTTATTTTGAGAATTTGCCCTAAAAACATTGTTTAACATTAGCTTGAGTAACAGTTATAAAAATTAACATAAAATAATACAATATAATGCAAATAGCGCCACCAAGTGAAAAAGCAGCATTTTTTAGTGCTATGATAAGTGCAAATAACAATACATATAAAAGATAGCAGCATTTCCGTTGCAATAATCAGTTGATAGATGGAAGTGTCCCTAATATAAAAGCACTGCTACAGAGAAAACAAGGGTTTGTTTTTTGTGACAGCGTAAAGGGACAGTTTTAATACTACTAACGGAGACTTTGTCATTTAAACACTGTTTTTTCATATTTTGTTCAAATTTACTACCATTAAATTCAATATCATGCATCATGTTCTGATTTCAGCCTCTTAAGCAAAAGTAAAATATTTTGTGACACAAGAGAATTTATAATTGGCACCAGATGTGAAAAATAGGAAATGTTCTTACTGATATTGACCCATCAGTGAATGTTATAATAAAAACGCACTGTGTTTGTCTTTATAATCTTTGATAATAAAACTCATACAGTCAGCAGGGAAGCGCATCTGTGTTCTTTATGGACGCTGCACTGAAGGGCTGAAACTTTAGCTATACGTGGTGCTTTTTGGCGAGTCGTTCGTTTTCTATTTTTCATATCTGCACAAAGTGTCATTATAATTTTACTTGTGTCATGAAATATTTGACTTTAAAAGGCTGAAATCAGAAGATAATATCCTTTGATAGTATATTTTAAGGTAGTAAATTTGAAAGATACACCCACAGGATGAATATACAGTATGTACAGTATGTGGATTTATATGAGGCTGCACTGAAATGCAACATGATCTACTCTGGCTCAGTCTTCTGCATTTCAGCTAATACTTCCATTGATTGAGTCCTGGACATTCCTTCATCTTCATCTTCATCTTCAGGTGCACAGCTCTCTGAGATAGATGATGTGAGACAACAACAAAAGATCTGTCAGAGTATACCTTGAAATAGTCCATCTGCACCTTTAACACGAATTACATAAAGGGTCGATAATTAAAGATGTTTTACACTCATCCAAATGAAGTTCACATTTATATTGTGTAGAAGGAAGACCTGGGCTAGCTGCTCATTTCTTTCCATTTTTGTATGTGATTTTTTTTTTAATTGTATATACAGTAAAACATTTGATAACATGGCCTGATTTTGAGAAGTTGCCCTACAAAATGGTTCGTCCTACCAGCTAACAAAAATATGTTCTAGGAATGTTTTGCTAAAATTCCATCAAGTTATGAAAACATATTTTCTGAATGTTAGATCTTTCAAAATCTCCAGTTTTTAAACAAAAAAAACCTAACCCTAACCCTAACCCTAACATTTTACAAATTTGAATGATAAGGGAATTGTCCGTATAATCATTTTACAAATATTAGGGGAATGTTGAATGTTTTGAAACGATAATTAGAAACATTTAAAAAAACTATAAACAAACATCAAACTAAAATGTTTAAGAGCAAACACTCCATGAACTATCTACACAATGTTGTTGTGCTAATGCTGTCAGAATATTATTAGAGTAGATAACCCTGAACAAACGTTCTATTAACGTTACTAGAAGACTGTTTGTTTATGACTTTGAGAGAACCTTGCCAGAATGTTCCCTGTTAGCTGGGTAGTTAAAATCATATTTAATTCTGATAGCTGAACTATGGTGAGCCTGTGTGCTTTTATTGTGTAACAGATTTATTCTGTGATGCAAAGCCGAATTTTCTGTTTTAAAAAGTCTAAAGTTCTATTTTTCTATTTTAAATAAATGCTGTTCTTTTAAACGGCAATCATCAAGGAATCCTGAAAAAAGGGTTATAAAAAATATCACAGGATATAAAAAAAAATATTAAGCAGCACAACTTTTTCCAACACTGATAATAAATTAGCATTAAAGGGGTCATGAACTGACAAACCAAAATTCCCTTGATCTTTTGTCATATACGAGTTCATTGTACTATAAAAAACCTGTAAGTTTCAGAACTCAAAACTTTCTTGTTAGTCTAATAACTGCCAAAACGACAGCTTGTGCAATGTTCCACTCTATGATGTAATAGTGTGGATAAGCTCCGCCTCCGCAGAAGAAGATCAGCGCCTGCTTCTATCACTGCTGTGATTGGCTAATAGTTGTGTATGATTGACAGCCTACATTCCTCAGAGATGGGCGCTGCTATGTTTAGCCCCGCCCACCTATTCTACATCACTGTCTGTTTAGCCCCGCCCACCGATTCTACATCACTGTACCGATTCTACATCGCTGTTTGTTTGGCCCCGCCCACCGATTCTACAGCGCTATCTGTTTAGCCCCGGCCACCGATTCTACATCACTGTCTGTTTAGCCCCGCCCACCAATTCTACATCGCTGTCTGTTTAGCCCCGCCCACCGATTCTACAGTGCTGTCTGTTTAGCCCCGCCCACCAATTCTACAGCGCTGTCTGTTTAGCCCCGCCCACCGATTCTACATCGCTGTCTGTTTAACCCCGCCCACCTATTCTACATCACTGTCTGTTTAGCTCCGGCCACCTATTCTCGCATGTAGTGTTTTGAGAAGAGCGGCAAACACATGGTCTATGCAGAAACCAAACGATAAAGATGCTCTGAAGACAACAAGATGCTTTGCACTGCCAAGTTGTGGAAAAACAGTGTTTGCGCTGCCTTCCTTCTGATCCCAACATTAGTAGAGAGTGAATTAACTTTATTTTTAATGAACATCAGTAAGAACTCTGTCCTTTGTTCACTTTATTTTACCGAAGATTCGTTTACAAACAAGACACAATTCGGCGCTGGATCTTCAGAAAGACTGAAACTAAAAGACGATGCTGTGAGACTATATTGGATCCGACAGTAATGTCCCAACACATAAGTGTGAGTAACTGTTTTTATTACATGATCACTATTGCTTTGTCTGTTATTACAGATAATTTCACATGTGCTGAGTATTTATGTGTTTTTAGACTAAATCACAGCAGCGCCCATCTGTGAGGAATGTAGGCTGTCAATCATACTGTTCAAACACAACTATTAGCCAATCACAGCAGTGGGCGTTTACTTCTGAGTCTACAATCCTCCACGACTGTTCAAACAGCGTTCTGACGAGGGGGTTAAAAACAGCACAGAAATAGCTTATGGTTTTTTTTATGTAAAAATTTTGATTACATTATAAGTGGACTTAAAAAAACGTCTCGGGTTACTTATGTAACCATGGTTCCCTGAGTAGGGAACGAGACACCGCGTCCTCTAGGGGTCGCTATGGGGAACGCCTCGTCGTGACCCGTGTCTGAAGCATACATTGAAAAAACACCAACTCGTTGGCCGGCGACAGCCATGACGTCACTACCGGTGCGACTAGAGTATAAATCGGCGCCGGGAGCTACACATCATTCACTTCTTCGTCTGAAGCTTGCGTCCGCAGCATGGCAAGAAACCTAGAGGACGCAGTGTCTCGTTCCCTACTCAGGGAACCATGGTTACATAAGTAACCTGAGACGTTCCCTTTCATGGGAACTTCGAACTGCGTCCTCTAGGGGTCGCTAGGGGGAACGGTAT